TATGACAGAAGCTGTGACAGAAGCTGCAGTTAGTGACCGCTGAGACAGGTGGCGCTGTGATTACAGCACCACGGTCTCAGTGATCACACAGAGCAGACGAAGAAAGTCCGTTCTTCGTCTACTCTATGGTGATCTCCATCGTCGCCGCTGCTCGGTTTTAATACGAGTGATCTCATTAGATCACTCGTATTAAACGAGCAGTGGCTCCTACTACTGAATACGATCGCCGTCGCCGCTGCTCGGCTTTAATACGAGTGATCTCATTAGATCACTCGTATTAAACGAGCAGTGGCTCCTACTACTCGCCCAGCGCCCGGAACTGCATGTCTCGGGCGTCGGGATTCGCTCCATAAGACGCAGGCACATTTTCTCCCTCCTTTTGGGGGGAAAAAAGTGCGTCTTATGGAGCGAAAGATACGGTAGTTACAAAGATATTGAGCATTTTTTATAATGTGTCCTCTATATGTAGGTCACTTAGGGAATGTTTCATTTTTGAAGTTAACGTATATATACCTGTGTCCTTCATTGAATCCATACTTTGGGATAGCCAAGTAGAAAGGTGTCTGCCCGCCTTCAAATCCTAGACGAGGTTTGTTTCCTCTTTGGGTTTCTCCTTTGTGGCCTCTACCACTTTTTCTGCCACCATGTCTTCCACGACCTCGTTGTCTTTCCTTAGAACAAATGAGAATAAGTCATCAGAACAGAAACAATAGGCACAAATCCATTGAAAAGGAATATCTGACCCTAGCTATATGTAGAGCTGTATGAAATTAAAGTGAACCTGTTCTTTGACTGTGCACGGCAAAGCAATGGGCTCACTCTATGCCGATCCCCCAATCGTTTACACATACATTCCCCTTCATTCCCTGCTCTTCAATTAGCTAGAGCTGCAACAATTAATCGATTGAGTCGATTAAAATAGACGATGGAAAACGTTGCCAACGTTTTCCATCGCCGATTAGTCGGCTATCGATAGGTTAGTCCGTTAGGGGCTCCACACATGACCAGAGCCGCACGTCACACGCGCAGAAGCCACGCCCACCGCTGCTCCTCGCCTCGCTGTGAGCTCCCTCACTGCCGCACTCTTGATGGTGTGACTGGGCCCTCTATGCATGGGGTCAGCACTGAAGGATAAAGCAGCATTTTTTTCCTGGGAAGGTTAGTATTTTGGCCCTTCTGGTATTAATTTATTTTTATATTGCAACACAACTTGACAGATGAATGTAGTCTTCTGTATCTGGGCAGGACACATTTTGGTTGCTATGGCGACTAAAATAATGCTGTCCGGTGATATAGTCATTGAAGTCTCTACTTGCAGACATATTGACTGCAATTTCATCAGTCATCGCTAGGTGACGTCTGGAAGAAAAATGGCCGACGATCAACGCCTCTGTGTGTGCCTATGTGTGAGAGAGTATCTGTGTGGGCTAGGGGTCCCAGTACAAGTCTGTGTGCCAGCAGTCCTAGTGTGCATCTGTGCGTGTGCCAGCAGTCCTAGTGTGCATCTGTGCATGTGCCAGCAGTCCTAGTGTGCATCTGTGTGTGTGTGTGTGTGCCAGCAGTCCTAGTGTGCATCTGTGTGTGTGTGCCAGTTTGTTCATAAACGTGACACTAAACTCGGGAGTTAAATCCTAAAATGCATTCAGGTACTTTAACCAATAAAAAAAAAAAAAAAAATTAGTTTATTTGTGTATAACTCGGCTGTAGATCCTCAAATCATCTCTGAATTGGTGCTGACACTGTCCTTCCTCCTGGAGGGTGGCTACTTTTGTTCCCCATGGTCCCTGTGTGTGTTGTAAAGTGGTCACCGCTCCAAGCTCGCTCCCGTGATAGACTATAATCTCAATACAAACTAAAATTCCATCAGGGGAGCCATTTTTTACTATTTCTATCCTATTAACCGAACTTAATAAACCGGCTAACTACCGTATATACTCGAGTATAAGCCGAGTTTTTCAGCCCATTTTTTTTGCTGAAAAAGAAAATAATAGTTAGCTGCAGCTACAATTAACCGGTGGGAGCCAGGAGAACTTGTCCCATAAAAGCTCCAAGTCATGGCATAAAGGAAGGGTACACAACTCTGGCACTCCAGCTGTTGTGAAACTGCAAGTCCCATGAGCCAATGCAAGACTCAGAACTGAGGACTCTCTTACCGTCCCTATGTGAGAGCAGTGTGTGCCAGAGCAGGCAATCACCAAGCACCACTCCTGCCATGGTGGAAGGGGGGTAAATCCCTGCTTCCTTAGGTATTAAGTACATCAAATCGTTTTCCTGGGCGCAAAGGAGTGCAGGGAGCAACAGGAAGACAAGTATAAGCAGCTAAAGGGGGAAGGGAGGGGGGGGAAAGATTACAATGAACCTGCTGCTTTGCCCTGCAAGGAAAAGACACAAATTCACATTAAAGTATATGAAAACCCAAACACTAAAATCTCATATTAGCTTCAACATGATAAAGAGGAACTGAACTTTAAGGGCGTATTTTTAAAAAATATTTGCAGAGCCATCCATCCTGAGAAAAAAAGCATATACCTTAATTTTGTTCAAATGGAGGCCAGAAGGAATGTTATTAGTATATATTGTTTCCAGATCAAATGTAATATCAGGAAAATACCACATTTTGGCCACTAGATGGAAAGATTTTCCTGTACTCCTCAGCTCCATCTAGTGACCGTGCAGCATATCCAGATATTACATTCGACCTGAAAAGAAAATACATTAAACAACATTTGTTTTGCCACTATTTGTGCAAGACAAATGGCTCTGAGAATTCTTTATAAAAGCCCCCCCCCCTTAAAGTAAAGATTTGTTATGTTGCAGAGAAGATGTATTAACTGTGCCCGAGCATAAGATTGAAAAAATTTCCTTTTTTCTTGAATTCCTCCTGAAACATAGCAGTGCTTCCTAGTATTCGAGTGTGCCTAGATGCTGCTGTACCTACTGCCTCATAAGTGTAGTGTGAGATCTGTTGCCTCTAGCTGCTAGTCCCAAGAAATTTGCAGGAAAATGTAATGCTGTCACTATTGTTCTGCTCACCTTCTTTACTTCATGTTCTGACATGAAGTAAAGAAGCCCTGCCTCTACCAAGATGGCCACCTTCACAGGCAATACTGGCGACTAGTCCTGTGCCCTTTTGGGCACAGCTTCCAGAGCTTGTATCCTCTTTAATGTCATTTTAAAAGTAAGTTCCGCACTTTTTAAATCTGCAGCTTCCATTGTTAACAAATTAGAGTGCCCCCTTACGTTGATCGTCCCCATTAGAGTGCCCCTCTTTACGTTGACCGTCCCCATCAGAGTGCCCCCTTTACATTGACCGTCCCCATCAGAGTGCCCGGCTTTACATTGACCGTCCCCATCAGAGTGCCCCCTTTACATTGACCGTCCCCATCAGAGTGCCCCCTTTACATTGACCGTCCCCATCAGAGTGCCCCCTTTACATTGACCGTCCCCATCAGAGTGCCCCCTTTACGTTGACCGTCCCCATCAGAGTGCCCCCTTTACGTTGACCGTCCCCATCAGAGTGCCCCCTTTACGTTGACCGTCCCCATACGCTGATCGTCCACATTAGAGTGCCCCCTTTACGCTGACAGTCCCCATCAGAGTGCCCCCTTACGTTGATCGTCCCCATCAGAGTGCCCCTCTTTACATTGATCGTCCCCATCAGAGCGCCCCCCTTTACATTGATCGTCCCCATCAGAGCGCCCCCCTTTACATTGATCGTCCCCATCAGAGCGCCCCCCTTTACATTGATCGTCCCCATCAGAGCGCCCCCCTTTACATTGATCGTCCCCATCAGAGCGCCCCCCTTTACATTGATCGTCCCCATCAGAGCGCCCCCCTTTACATTGATCGTCCCCATCAGAGCGCCCCCCTTTACATTGATCGTCCCCATCAGAGCGCCCCCCTTTACATTGATCGTCCCCATCAGAGCGCCCCCCTTTACATTGATCGTCCCCATCAGAGCGCCCCCCTTTACATTGATCGTCCCCATCAGAGCGCCCCCCTTTACATTGATCGTCCCCATCAGAGCGCCCCCCTTTACATTGATCGTCCCCATCAGAGCGCCCCCCTTTACATTGATCGTCCCCATCAGAGCGCCCCCCTTTACATTGATCGTCCCCATCAGAGCGCCCCCCTTTACATTGATCGTCCCCATCAGAGCGCCCCCCTTTACATTGATCGTCCCCATCAGAGCGCCCCCCTTTACATTGATCGTCCCCATCAGAGCGCCCCCCTTTACATTGATCGTCCCCATCAGAGCGCCCCCCTTTACATTGATCGTCCCCATCAGAGCGCCCCCCTTTACATTGATCGTCCCCATCAGAGCGCCCCCCTTTACATTGATCGTCCCCATCAGAGCGCCCCCCTTTACATTGATCGTCCCCATCAGAGCGCCCCCCTTTACATTGATCGTCCCCATCAGAGCGCCCCCCTTTACATTGATCGTCCCCATCAGAGCGCCCCCCTTTACATTGATCGTCCCCATCAGAGCGCCCCCCTTTACATTGATCGTCCCCATCAGAGCGCCCCCCTTTACATTGATCGTCCCCATCAGAGCGCCCCCCTTTACATTGATCGTCCCCATCAGAGCGCCCCCCTTTACATTGATCGTCCCCATCAGAGCGCCCCCCTTTACATTGATCGTCCCCATCAGAGCGCCCCCCTTTACATTGATCGTCCCCATCAGAGCGCCCCCCTTTACATTGATCGTCCCCATCAGAGCGCCCCCCTTTACATTGATCGTCCCCATCAGAGCGCCCCCCTTTACATTGATCGTCCCCATCAGAGCGCCCCCCTTTACATTGATCGTCCCCATCAGAGCGCCCCCCTTTACATTGATCGTCCCCATCAGAGCGCCCCCCTTTACATTGATCGTCCCCATCAGAGCGCCCCCCTTTACATTGATCGTCCCCATCAGAGCGCCCCCCTTTACATTGATCGTCCCCATCAGAGCGCCCCCCTTTACATTGATCGTCCCCATCAGAGCGCCCCCCTTTACATTGATCGTCCCCATCAGAGCGCCCCCCTTTACATTGATCGTCCCCATCAGAGCGCCCCCCTTTACATTGATCGTCCCCATCAGAGCGCCCCCCTTTACATTGATCGTCCCCATCAGAGTGCCCCTCTTTACATTGATCGTCCCCATCAGAGTGCCCTCATACCATTCTTCAGCAGGGAGGAAGCTGCGAGGTGAAGCAGGCTGAAGGGCTATACGAAAGAAGTTATTCTATCATGTTATGCCCTGCCTCCTGTGATGCTGGAGCCAGGGCAGCAATGTGACATCATAGGATGCCGGATGTCCTAGCAACTAATGGCTGTGGGGGGAATGGGAGGGGGGCATGTGATGTCATTGGTTGTTAGGATACCGGCGATCTGATCAACCAATTGCTGTGGGGGGGGGAGGGGATATGACATCATTGGTTGTTAGGATACCTAGCAACCAATGATTCCTTTCTAAGGAGAATAAGTTTCATTGATGGAGGCGGTCTTCATAGCTGTCAGATGGTAACATGTATGGTGACCCTTAGAGGAATATCAAGGTCCTGCATACAGCTCAGTCCTAGGATCCAGGGTCCCCCCAGGAACAAGGAGGGGATCTGAAGCCAGCAGCAGGTACTTGGAAGCAGTACAAGTCTGTGCTTTATTGGTAACGTTCATTGTAGGGCTGCAACAACTAATCGACATAATCGATTATAATCGATTATTGAAAAAGTTGTCAACATGAACAGCTCCAGTGGATATGACAAGTTCACTGTAAAGCCCAATTCAACCTTCACTTTAACTCAGCTAAATACATTCCAGGAACATCAAAACAAAAAGGTGTACAAAGTCTTCCAGTACATTGAAGAGCCTGTCCCAGTATACTTGCAGAGTGGGGGCCTGTATCTCTGTGTGGAAGCAGTGGGCTCTCTGCAGAGGTCCAATACATCCTTTTTTAAGTCTGATCTCTCCAATAAGCATGCAGCATGCATGAGCTTTACTGACTGCAAAGCTCCAGGTCTGACTCGGCAGGAGTAGTGTCAGAACCCTGCAGAGAGGCTGCTGCTTCACAATGAAAAAGGTCCCAGTCTGTGGCTGCTGGCAGGAGACAGGCATTTCTACTCAGGCTGGGTCTGCTTTAGAAAGAAAATAAAGTGTAGGACATTGAACACTTTTTGCTTTGATGCAACTGAAATTTAGCTGATGTAAACTGAAGGGTTATCTCCTCTTTTGTGTTGGGGGGCCAGAGTAAAGCACATTCACTTACCTGATTCCCACTCTCCCTGTGGGCAGCACTCACCTTGTCTTCCCCTCCGCTATAGTTGCTGGAATGTTCCTCGGCATCCTCACATCTAATACAGGATGGTCTACGAGACCTCCATTAGATGTGATGTGATGTAATGGTCCTTAGACTGCCAGAACCCCGTGGAGAAGATGCTGCGGGGACAGGTCTAACAGCCTGGAGAGAGCAGTGATCAACTAAGTAAAAGTGATTTACTCTAAAACTAGCATTTAACCCTTGCAGTGCAGGGGGCAGCACCACTGCAAAGGGGGGGGTGTTTGCCCTGAGATGGGTTTGAAGTTCATCTTACCTACGGCAATATCTATACCAGCCACCCATATTCGTGCATAAAACTGAGCATGATCACCAGATTAATGAATGAATATCAGGCTGGCAGGTTGTATATCAGGCTGGCAGGTTGTATACCAGGCTCAGGCACCGGGTTATTCTGGTACAAAGGCATGCTGGTACTTGCAGTTCTCTCAGAGCTTGGCTGAAGCTGTTCTGGCTCCCAGAGGACGGAAGCAAGTGACCATGTGCCAAGTCTATAGCGCTGTGCGTACTCCGATCTGTCGGTTCTTACCCTGTGCCGGGCTCCGGGGTTTGGTCTCAGATTGGCCAGGGACACTCGGGGCAGAATCTTCAAAAGCTCCCCAGCTGTCTTCCCGCTGCTCCCGGAGGCGGCCATGTTCGCATTCTGAAGGGCAGAATGACAGTCGGAACCATGTGACTGCCATTCACTCATAAACCACGCCTCTAAGGCTTTGCTTTACGGCGGTGACGTCAGATCAAAGCGCAGTGGTTCCGCCATGTTGGTGTTTGGCATTGTGGTGGAGATAGATGAGACATGCGGGTGTTACACTGAGTGATCTTCTGATTCGGGGATGTCAGTTATGCAGTGATTAATACAAACAGGAGCAGACAGAATCTGGAGCCGTTGCTTATGGCAACCAATCAGCTTCTCTCTTTATTTTGTTCAGTCAAGCGTTACAAATGACACATAATTTGATTGGTTGCCATGGACAACTGGTGCAGATTCTGTTTGCTCCAGTGTTCATGAATTCCCCCCATGGAATGCCAAGTCTATCCATTCTTTGTGTTTATTAGAGAAGTAATTACTGGATATTTGGTCATCTCTGATCTCAGCATTTGCCAAGATGAATGAACTCCCATGCATTGTGTCAGCCCGGCCATTCAAAATGACTGAAGATTCAGAACTTGGAAGAAGACTGGGTTAGGATGGAAATCATATTGCTGGATGGGAGTAGAGTAGCGTTCCACTTTAAAGAGCTCTAGATGCTGCTTGTATCTGACACTTTCCGGTGTGTGGGATACCTGGGGACAGGCTATTAAAATGTCTATGACACTCTTTAGAATCCTGCCATGCATCTGCACAATAAATACAGATTCATGTATTTATTGGAAACATACCAGACATCTGACGGATGGTCCGGGAGGCTCCCGCTATGAGATAGCGGCTCCCTGACGCCCACGAGAGAAACATTTTATCCTAGCAGAGTAAACCTTTACGGGATTCCCTGCTATCTGCTGTTTTGTTTTTGTATTCCGACAGCCACTGCCGTCAGAATAAAAAAAAAAATTAACAGCAAGCTGGGGAATGAATAGCTAGGCTGCTATTGGCCATTTCAAACCAATAGCAGGCTGACTATTGCACCTGCCCACTGCTGCTGTCAATCAGCAGAGGTGGACCTGAAGTTCTCTGCTGATTGACAGCAGCAGTGGTAATAGTAATACCATCAGCACTCCTCTCCTGCCAATGCTGCCTGTCATAATACCATCAGGACTCCTCTCCTGCTAATAGTGCCTGCCGCAATATCATCAGCACTCCTCTACTGCCAATGCTCCCTGCCTTAAAACCATCAGCACTCCTCTCCTGCCAATGCTGCCTGCCCTAATACCATCAGCAGTCCTCCCCTGCCAATACTGCCTGACATAATGCTATCAGCACTCCTCTCTTGCCAATACTGCCTGCTGTAATACCATCTGCACTCCTGCCAATACTGCCTGTTGTAATACCATCAGCACTCCTCTCCTGCCAATACTACCTGCCCTAATACCATCAGCACTCCTTTCCTGCCAATACTGCCTACCGTAATACCATCAGCACTCCTTTCCTGCCAATACTGCCTACCGTAATACCATCAGCACTCCTTTCCTGCCAATATTGCCTGCCCTAATACCATCAGCACTCCTTTTCTGTCAATACTGCCTGTCACACTGCCATAAGCACTCCTCTCCTGCCAATACTGCCTGCTGTAATACCATCTGCACTCCTGCCAATACTGCCTCCCCTAATACCATCAGCACTCCTTTCCTGCCAATATTGCCTGCCCTAATACCATCAGCACTCCTTTTCTGTCAATACTGCCTGTCACACTGCCATAAGCACTCCTCTCCTGCCAATACTGCCTGCAGTAATACCATCAGCACTCCTTTCCTGACAATACTGTCTCCCGTAATACAATCAGCACTCCTCTCCTGCCAATACTGCCTGCCGTAATACTATCAGCACTCCTTTCCTGCCAATACTGCCTGCCCTAATACCATCAGCAGTCCTCTCCTGCCAATACTGCCTGCTATAATGCTATCAGCACTCCTCTCTTGCCAATACTGCCTGCCGTAATACCACCTGCACTCCTGCCAATACTGCCTGTTGTAATACCATCAGCACTCCTCTCCTGCCAATACTACCTGCCCTAATACCATCAGCACTCCTTTTCTGCCAATACTGCCTGCCGTAATACCATCAGCACTCCTTTTCTGCCAATACTGCCTGCCACACTGCCATAAGCACTCCTCTCCGGTACATATACAGCCCGCTGTCACACCCCTCCGGCATATACTGCTTTCTGTCATACCCTCCATACTCCTTTCCTGTACATAATGCCCACCAAGACACTTATAAAGCATTGATTGTTATATCCTCAGCCATATCCCCTTCTGAAATGAGCACACTATTGCTTATATATAATTATCTATGAAATATATATTTGTACAGTAATACCTTGGTTTACAAGTAACTTAGTTTGATAGTGTTTTGCAAGACAAGCAAACATTTCTGAAAAATTTTGCCTTGATATACGAGCGACGTCTTGCAATAAGAGCAAAATTTTGCAGAAAAGTGCCACACGAATACGGCTGTAGCAAAATCCTCAAAAGGAGGCAACAGCAAGTGTCACTGGATAGATTCCTTGTTAAGGTTTCACGAAATGAAAAAGATTCCATTGAGCCAAGAGATAGCAGTGATTCCTTTAGGCCTTGTTCACACCAAATGCAGAGCAGGTCCGGTCAGGTTTCTGCACACGCACGCTAGTCTTTTAGGCGTGTTTTGATGCGTTCCGGGCTCTTTTTGGTAAAAAAAAAGAAAAAGTGAAGTTTAAAATGGGCTTTCAGTGTGTTCCAGGCATTGGCATGCATTTCTGATGCGTTTTTGATGCATTCCAGAGCAGATCCAGAGCAAGTAAAATAGGGCCTGCTGCAGTTTTTTCACCTGCTCTGGATCTGCTCTGCAACTGCACACTGCGATGTGACCTGGAGCAAAAAATACCATTGGAATACATTGGACGCAGTCTTGATCCGGTCTGCACCTGCTCTGCTCTGAATCTGCTCTGCGCTTGGTGTGAACAAGCCCTTAGTGATAGTGAAAGTCATCCTCTCTTGTCCCCCTCACACCAGCCACGAAGGTACCAGTAATTGGTTTATTTTTCTTTATATTTTGTATTATATTACAGTACAGTATTGTAATAATTTTTATATGAATATTTTTGGGTTGTGGAACAAATCATCTGAGTTTCCATCATTTCCTATGGGGAAATTCGCTTTGATATACAAGCGCTTTGGATTACAAGCATGCTTCCGGAACCAATTATGCTCGTAAACCAAGGTATTACTGTATTATTATTACTGTTATTCATTTTCACCACCATAAACTCAAATTGAAGTGTCCAACTATTGCATGTCTGCGCACATGGAAGTTCACGGCAGTTGGAATGTTTTGAAGCTGTGCAGGGCCGGCCTTAGGCCTTTAGGCGCCCTGTGCGAGAAAGCTTTACAGCGCCCCTCAGTGACCATACCCCTCAGTGGCCACACCCTTTAGTGGCCACACCCCCAGTAACCACACCCATTTATCACCCATATTTTTGGTAAAATATAAAAAGACGGGGTCACGTCGGGTAAATAGACACCAAACATGTCATGCTTTAAAATTGCTCGCACCCGCAAAATCGCAAAAAATTACCATGCCCAAAATTGACCATAGGTGACGCTTTAAAAGCTTTTACCCCTCATCAGTTTAGTGTTATCAGTGATTGATAGCCCTACAATTATTGCTCTCATTCCGACGTTCGCGACGATATGTAACATGTGCGGCTTAATGGGCGAAATCGTCGTTTTCACACGTATGCGCACCCGATGCCTGTTTGCATGCATGCCAATACTGCCTGCCGTAATACCATCAGCACTCCTTTTCTGCCAATACTGCCTGCCGTAATACCACCTGCACTCCTGCCAATACTGCCTGTTGTAATACCATCAGCACTCCTCTCCTGCCAATACTACCTGCCCTAATACCATCAGCACTCCTTTCCTGCCAATACTGCCTGCCGTAATACCATCAGCACTCCTTTTCTGCCAATACTGCCTGCCACACTGCCATAAGCACTCCTCTCCGGTACATATACAGCCCGCTGTCACACCCCTCCGGCATATACTGCTTTCTGTCATACCCTCCATACTCCTTTCCTGTACATAATGCCCACCAAGACACTTATAAAGCATTGATTGTTATATCCTCAGCCATATCCCCTTCTGAAATGAGCACACTATTGCTTATATATAATTATCTATGAAATATATATTTGTACAGTAATACCTTGGTTTACAAGTAACTTAGTTTGATAGTGTTTTGCAAGACAAGCAAACATTTCTGAAAAATTTTGCCTTGATATACGAGCGACGTCTTGCAATAAGAGCAAAATTTTGCAGAAAAGTGCCACACGAATACGGCTGTAGCAAAATCCTCAAAAGGAGGCAACAGCAAGTGTCACTGGATAGATTCCTTGTTAAGGTTTCACGAAATGAAAAAGATTCCATTGAGCCAAGAGATAGCAGTGATTCCTTTAGGCCTTGTTCACACCAAATGCAGAGCAGGTCCGGTCAGGTTTCTGCACACGCACGCTAGTCTTTTAGGCGTGTTTTGATGCGTTCCGGGCTCTTTTTGGTAAAAAAAAAGAAAAAGTGAAGTTTAAAATGGGCTTTCAGTGTGTTCCAGGCATTGGCATGCATTTCTGATGCGTTTTTGATGCATTCCAGAGCAGATCCAGAGCAAGTAAAATAGGGCCTGCTGCAGTTTTTTCACCTGCTCTGGATCTGCTCTGCAACTGCACACTGCGATGTGACCTGGAGCAAAAAATACCATTGGAATACATTGGACGCAGTCTTGATCCGGTCTGCACCTGCTCTGCTCTGAATCTGCTCTGCGCTTGGTGTGAACAAGCCCTTAGTGATAGTGAAAGTCATCCTCTCTTGTCCCCCTCACACCAGCCACGAAGGTACCAGTAATTGGTTTATTTTTCTTTATATTTTGTATTATATTACAGTACAGTATTGTAATAATTTTTATATGAATATTTTTGGGTTGTGGAACAAATCATCTGAGTTTCCATCATTTCCTATGGGGAAATTCGCTTTGATATACAAGCGCTTTGGATTACAAGCATGCTTCCGGAAC